ATCTTTTACAAAACCTTTTTTCAAAACATTTTTTTTATAAACCCTAATTTCGGTTTTAGGTTTTTTTAATCAACCCTAATTAAATTTTTTAGGTTTTTTATTTAATCAATCAATTTAGGTTTTTTAGGTTTTTCACTAATTAATCATTTTTAAAAAATTAAAATCAACTTAGATTTTAGGGTTTTGTTTTAATTTAATTAATCAATTTTTTTTATTAAAATCAATTAGGATTTTTAGATTAAACATCAAACCTTTTTCTATCAAAATCACAAAACAATTTTTCTTTTTCCATTTATTTTACAATCTTCGCGTACTTTATTATTTTCATTATTTTTCAATTATGTATCTGCTTACAGTTTGTAATAGTTTAATTAGGGTTTTTATTATTTCCCCCGATTTTACTGGTTGTATCCCACTCCCGAAGTCCTGTAATAGTGTAGGATTTTATTTGCCTCATTTTACTGCTTTTCATTATTGCTATATTGCTTTGCTAGTATCTAGGGCTTGTATGGCAAGATATAAAACAATCAATAGCTAACCCTAAACGCAAGATAAATGAACCAAATTAAATCATTTTTCACACACGCACCTCTAGGGTAACCTCACTCGTTATCTCGAAAAATGGTCATGTCCCTCGAACGTAGGGATATCCTTAGCAAAGATCCTCGGTTAAAATCATCATAAAGATCATAGTCCCGCGATGTCCCTCGAGTTACCTATGAGAAATGATCTTGTCCCTCGATGTTGCCTATGAATATAAGATGATAGTCCCTTCGAATTGCTAAGGTATCCCTATATGTTGCCTTCATTGACCGTACGATGACCCTTCGCTTGTCCCTTCATATTTAACGAATAGGGCTGCCTACCAACTAATGGTATGGATAACACTATATCTAAAGGAGGAGAAAAATAACAAGAACGACCTTAAGTGAGTAGGATACTTTTAATCGCTTGCTCACAAGCATTTCAAAACAAAAACATCTTTTCACAAACACTTTCTCAAAATATTTTCAAACAAACACTTTATACTCATTGTCGAGGACATATACGAGAATCATTATAAAGTTCGCCTTACAATTGGAATTTACAAAATATTTTCAAACATGCATAACACAAAGCAATTTTCAAAACAAAGTGAGCTAGCGCTTAAGAGCCCGTAGATAACTGCAGATGAAAAGGGTGCTAACACCTTCCCTTTTCTTAACCTACCCCCCGAACTCAAAATCAAAAAGGTCTTTCTTGTTATTTTAACCCTTTCCTTATTAGATAAAATAAAAGTCGATGGCGACTCTTGCTATTCGCAACATTTGCAATAAAACGCAAAAAAGTCAGTTCTCCCACCATATTATAGGATCCAGGAACACTTCGCAACCCCTTTTACCTAAAAGAAGGAAAAGAACATACCTGCTGTAGAGACGATATTCATCGCCTCACAAACTATCTCAAAAGATTTTATGAAACCCCAACTGTTAGGGTGAAGCTGAGAAGGAGCGACGTTCATGGTCTTTAGTATGCCCACTTTGAAATCAGAAAAAGGTATACAGACCTTGAAATCCTCTAAAACCCCAGTATAGAAATAAAATAACTCCTCATCAGAATCCTTCAGGCAAAGTATACACACCCGTTCACCAAAGGCACAAGACTCAAGGATAACATCATCTTCATCTCCGATCGATGAAACACTCATCAGAGACTGGAATTTGGCGATCTCTTCATTGTAAAGTGAGCTGTTCTTGTAGCCCATAACTTTGAGGTCAAAAGGGGCATCCATTTCCATCTAGATCTCTATAGAACCCAAGGAGGAAGAATCAAAGTCAGAATCACCCAAAGAGATGAAAGTACAATCATAAACTTCTCTCTTGACTCGATCAAACTCCTCTTGACCTAGAGCATTCTTAATATCACGCATGCACTAGTTCCACAATTCTTTTCTCTCCTCAGCATTCGCGGGTTTCACTAAATTTACCTCATCATCACATTCTCTTTTATGATAACCATTATCTAAAGATAAAAACAAAGGAAAGGCAAAATAAAGCGAAGAAAGAAAAGGAAAAATACATGGAAATGATGAACGTATGAGTAGTGTGTAGACTTATATGAAAAATGAAACATTGCTAAATGCTGAGAGGAAAAAGGAAAGATATAAGTGTGGTTTAAATAGGAACCTAATGAATAATAAGTTTGGGAAATAAACTTTGCCAAATATGCAAGTCCCAATAAAAAGTTATCATTGCACTATGAGAGAGAAGATACGTGACTTTTTAGTCTATGACACATGCAAAAAAATGAGGTCGGGTTATAACCCGGTCCAAATCCTAATATATCATGTGCTTTCCGTGACCGAACACTTCATACTTGTAGAAGAATTTGTATTCGGATGACTTATGTACATCCCAAAAGTATTAGCCTTGACCGGGTCATGAAGTCGTTTGGGAAGGCAACATAGCGAGTGTCTGGTCCATAAAGATAAAGAGTACCCGAGAAGAGATGTAAATCGACTGAGGATGTGGAACGACCGTCTTTGTATCTGAGAAGTAACTCATCTATGCTACCAACCCAGATATGGCATGTAACTGGAGTCCATCTGCTCATAGCCGATTAGTAACCCGACCCATTAATGACTATAACAGTTGTCAACGCATTAAACTCAACATTACACAGTCTTGAACACGCTCATTCATGGTAACGATGACAATTATGCAGTTAAGAAGCCAAAGAGTCACCTTTTGAATGAAGCTATTAATGGCGCAAAAGGAAGACTATATAAAGGGGCTCCAACAGAGGGATAAGCAAGACATTCATCTTGGGTCAAAATAAAACATCAGTGTAGTACCCAAATCCCCATAAATACTACAAGAATCTACCTATTGAGGCTCTCCCTGTTCCTACAGGGAAATCACTCACTCGTTTATTGTTTTTACGCAAGAACACTACTCATTTGTATTCTTTATCTCCAAAGCTTTCGCGCACGACCAATTATACCTATTGCAACACAAAATTTCAATTTGATTCGCCATTCTCGTGCTACTTCCTTTGCATTCTTTATCTCCAAAGGATCCTTTACGTTCTTTATCTCCAAAGACTTTCACTAGGCCGCAATCCTATCTTGAATGTCTTACACGAAAAGCCCCAAATTAATAAATGATCTTGGAGGACAAATATGTAGTTTTTCCGGATGAAGACCTATGCAAATTTCAACCCAATATTCTCGGCTACACAAGAACCTAATTAGATGTTATCGAACCTCATCTAGATGGAACCCCAACAAAAGATTATTACAATGATTTGTTAGTGTGTATGCATAGGTTGGAGGTTGAAGGTGAAGAGCAATTGCATGAAATTTTTATGGTATCATCAAGTTAGAATGATTCATGAAAGACGTATTTATAGTTATGAAAGTTTTATGGCAAAAGAGGGAAGTTCATAATTAAAAGAAAATAGAAAATTTGATCCATGAAATAGTATGAGCCCGCCTGTAACTTGCATGTACCGACTCATAGTATTAATTTTAACAGCATGAACCGACCTGAAATGATTTATGAGCCAGTCTGACCAAGACAAAGGAAAATTGCTTGTTTATGACAGTATATGAGCCGACCTGATCAAGATAGAGGAAAAGTGCTTATTTAGGACAATACATGAGCTGACCTGAAAGGTTGCATGAGCCGGCCTATACAGGCACGTGCAATGCAGAAAATGGTTTTTTTGAGATTGAGACAATTTTGACTATATTTCAAACGATTCTTAAGACCTCTAAATACATAGGGTGCCATACAAACTCAGAGATACTATCCAATATACAGAAATGCTATATTTTTATAGTTATGAAATCAGGAAAAACACATCCAGAGGCCAGTTGCACTCATATTTCTCAACCTAAAAATTTAGATTTCATGAATCTGAACTGAACATCTTTGTTATTGATCCTTCCCGATCAGAGATTATCATTTAAGGGTTCATTCGGATATGCATATACGAAAATATCATTGAATATTTAAATTCAATGTTTAAATAATTATAACGTCTAGACAAAGAGGTTTGCAGATATGCATATCTGAAACATCTTGAAAATGGTTTTAAGGGTTCGTTCGGATATACATTTCTGAAAGGTATTTTGGGATTTTCAGAGATGTTTTTGTCCCAAATAAGAGTGGTCAAAGAAATTTCCAACATAAAAACCCAACGAGCTAAAGACGTAACGAAACGGACTGATCCACCGAACTCACTTATTTTTTTTTTCTAATTCTTGATAATTTTATTTTATATATTTATTATTTGTGAATAACCACAACTAGACCAAAAGAAAATGTATTAAAAAAATCAATAACATAACAAAACAATGTGTTCATATCATACCATGTAAAACCCAAATTTCTTCATGCTTGATTATTCTAGTCAAGATTTTGGTATATAACATACCCATAAGCTATGACTTGAAGAAGTGAACTGCCGCAAGTTTGGAAGCATACTAGTTCCAATCATGTGATTCAACTAAGCAACATTTTCATAGCATTACATCTCTAAAGTCCATTTTTTCTTCCCTTGATTGTACTCGACTTAATGTTTGACAACATATACTCCTTGGGATGATGAAGAAGACAATATCCTCTCCACATGTGTTTGTTCAATTTTATCACTAGTTTCTTTCTAAAATTCAAATAAACAAGTACCTAAGTTATTTACAATTTTTTTGCCTCGACAATATTGCCTAAAAAAGTTATTTACAATTTCTCATGTAAAACAACACTTTTAGAATGTGCATGATGCACACAACTTATAAAAATGACAACAAGTGATTGGAATGTAAAAAATATGTGAAAAGTAACAAAAGAAAAATAATGAAGATATATTGTGATTTAGCGATGAAATAGTTCAAATATTCCTCTTATAGATAGAGACACAAATGACCATGAATTTCCCTATTTTACTCATGGCAGGCCCAAGAATGAACAATCAAATCCATCCACGTCGTTTTCCCCAAATCCAAAACCCATGTTCCAATGGCACCAACACCGACAAACCCAGAAGAACACGAACCGGCGCGACTCGAATCTCTCGCAGAAACCCAAAACTCCAAAACCGCCCTTAAATACCCCAAACGACCTCCACAGTTACACGGAATCTCAGAGTTAGTTAACTCTCTCAACATCCTATCCGCTCCCGATTTCTACGCCGTTCTCGACGTAGAACCCACTGCCGATTCCAGCACCATTCGGGATCAGTACAACAAACTCTCTTCTCTTTTTCATCTCGACAATAACCGGGCTTCGTCTCGAGAAGCTTTCAGACTTGTCACGGACGCGTTTGGTGTTCTCTCTGATAAAACACTCAGACAAAACTACGACGGTAAGGTTGATCTTGAGATTCGAGAAAATATGAGAACCTTTTGGACTGCGTGTTGTACTTGTAGGGTTTTGCATCAGTTTGAGAGAAGGTATTTGGGTCATAAGCTTGTGTGTCCTGGTTGTAATAGGAGTTTTAAGGCTGTTGAAGCTGTTGAGAATGATGGGTCTGGGGAAGAAGAGGATAACACTTTGGGGGAGTTTATGTTGAAGAGTATCAAGAGAAAGAAAAATGAGAAAATGGGTTGTGAGAAAGGTGAGAGCTTTAAGAATAATCGGAAAATGGGTTCTGAAAAAGGTTTTGAAAAAGGTGAGAGCTTTAAGGGTAATGATGAAGTGAGTGGTGAAAAAGGTGTGAGTTTTAAAAGTAATGATGAAGTGGGTGTTACTGGTAGAATGAGAAAGAGAACACGTTTGGTTGAGGAGGTTTTGGAGAGTTCTGAATCCAAGAAGGTTGATGGGATTGAAGAGGAAACGATGACATTGGCTGAATTTCAATCAAAAGTGAAGACTAAGAGAAAGGTTCAGAAAGAGAAAATGAAGGGATTGGAAATTAAGAGTGTTGAAGTCAAGGAGAAGAAGAATGATGATTCTGTGGAGAGAAAGGAGTTGAGACTTGAGAAGCATAAGGATTTTATTGGAGAAGAGTTAGAAGCTATGGCGGTTGCGGATTCGGATTTTTATGATTTTGATAAAGATAGAGTGGGGAGGAGTTTTAAGAAAGGTCAAGTTTGGGCTGTGTATGATGGCGATCATGATGGAATGCCGAGGCAGTATGCTTTGATTGATGAAACTGTTTCGGTGAATCCTTTTCAAGTGAGGATAAGTTGGTTGGATTTACAGAACGACGGGGATGAAAAGATTGTTAGCAGGGAGAAATTAGGGTTTCATATACCTTGTGGGAGGTTTAGAGTTGCTAAGAAGACTATAATTAATTCAGTAAATGTTTTTTCTCATGTTGTGGATTGTGATCAAGCAGCGCGCGAGGTTTACAAGATTTATCCTAAGAAGGGTTCGGTTTGGGCGCTTTATAGTGAGGCGAGTCTTGATGGAGGCGAGGGCATAAGATGCTATGAAATTGTTGTGCTTTTGACAAGTTATAGTGAGATGAATGGTATGAGCATGGCATTTCTTGAGAAGGTTGATCGTTACAAGACACTGTTTAAAAGACAGGAGAGTGGGAGTCATGCTGTTAGATTTCTAGGGAAGGATGAATTTTGGTTACTTTCTCATCAGATTCCTGCACAGAAATTTCCCGGCGACGAAGCTCCAGAATTGTTGAAAGACTGTTGGGAGCTTGATCCGGCTTCACTTCCTTCGGATTTACTGACTATTGGTGGAATAGATAATTGAGGTTAGGAATCATTTTTGTTTTGTGACGAGACTTTGACTGGTGATCTCTCTTTAGTTCTTTCACATATACTTACAATTACGCCGCTTAAATTAATGAATAGAATAAACTTGTGTCTAATGGAAAAATATTCGAGGAAACAAACTGACTTGTATATCTTGACTTTGTTGAATTTGCTGATCAAGGAAATGTACTTGAATTGCTATTCTATTCATATATTATGCTTAATTAGCCATGCTGAAGTTTTGTTTGGTCTCCCTCAATGAGAGACAGTGGCTAAAAAAGTATTGACATATGAATACCTGTGTGAATATGTGTTATCGATCCCAGATAGCTGCCACAATTTGAATTGCATAGAGAATGTATAATTTTAATTTCATATGCAAAATCTCAACAACTTGCTTGATTGATCAATGAGAGGGTGAAATATGACAACATGAGTGAGACAGGGGGAGAGAAGCCCAAACGGTGTTATGATGTTATTGAATTGCGTTATTCCTAAAGTACCTCAATCAAAAAGGTGTGAAATTTAAATTTCAATGGATATTTTTGGAATTCTCAATCTCACTGTGAGGTGCGGTGCTATTGTGGCTGTGGCAGCCATTATAGCTACCAGCCTACCACTATACTAAACATCTTTGTTACTGTATATCTCATAGCGTATGTAGACTGTTCTGCCACACCTCTACAGTGCTACCGCTATTGACATCGCTAGTGTAAATTTGTGATGGAAGTCCTAGGTGTAGAAAATTTGACAACTAATACTATTTTAGTTCTATGTTATTCTAAAGATCGAACATGCTTCTGTGAACTTCTTTCCTCTGATATTCTATTCTGTAGCTCAAAAGTTCAGTGAAATATATTAATAGACATATTTGATCATTTTGCTCATTCATCGGACTTTCTTTATGAGACTTTCTAATTTGTAATCAATCTAAATTCATGTTCTCTTGCCTCATTCTCTAGTTTATAATCCAATCACCTGTGAGATGCCAAAAACTTTTTAAAGGTGTGCAAGTCAATTACAGTTTAGAAACTGATTGTAACAAATTGTACAAATCAAGGTTGAGGGAGCTTTATGAAAGTGTATCAGAATGCACAGAAAGTAGTGTTCACGACCAACCTTGTCATGATGATTTTATAAAATATATTTCTCCATGAATGTTCTAACTATGGTAGTTTAATTTACTTGTTGAAGTTGCTGCTACTTCTAAACAAAAGCTCATTTTCTAAACAAGTGTGTAGCCAAACAAAAGCTCATTTCATCATTCTCTTGTTCAGGCTATCTGCAGTCTGTGTAGCTGTGGATTGACTTGATCCGATTGATTAGGATGCTTTAGAATCTTTAGAGAATTTCTTAGAATATCATAATTCAATCTTTGAATACTTTAGAATATCTCAGATAATCTCTTATGAGTAGTTTTCAAGTATTATACTCTACTTATGCCATGTTTAGTTTGGCATTTGCAATTGAATTCTCGTGTCTCAATGTCATTTTTAGGAAGTAATATATTCTTGCTTCAGCCTGGATGCGCATTCGCTACTGCAATTCCAAACATTGGCTTAGTTGTCTTATATTTAATCAAAATTGAGTACCTAGAATTGGTATGAATAAGGGTTAACACAGTCTTCTGAGTCATGCCAGCTTAAAAGGACTAACTTCTTTATAACCATTTTACAGGTAATTGAAGCTCTTTGTTTATATACTCCATAGCTTAGTTTTACAATGACAGTTTATATAATGTATTTCCATAAATACCTCTTTTCAATGAGATTTGCTTACAAAAATTTGATTGTGGTAAATTGAGTTATAATCCACTAGGTGTTACTTAGGCTTTGTCATAGTTTTGTAAATAAATAATTATTTTTCAGCTAAAGTAGATGTATCTGCATGTTTTCCTCAGTCATTAGAGTTTGTTGAACAGTAAGGACAACAAAGGCGCTGACAAGGTTGATCACGGTGGTCATTGCGGTGGTGCTTATAAATGGAAGGACGGTGGGGGTGACAGAGAATCTGAGATTTATTTTTTTTGGTGTTAATTTTGAAGTTTTTGAATGATAAAAGAACATTTCAGTAATGCCTTTTTTAAGGTAATTGAGTTGAGATTTGAAATTTCTTGCCACCCTTAAAATAATTCTAGAATCTAAGCATGTTTTTGAAGTATTTGCATTTTAGAATCCGATTTTCTTTAATATTTTACATGCAGAACACCATCAATAAGTTGTGAATAATTAAAATATCGATTAAAACAAGATCATACTAAATAGTTACTTCACCTGATTTGGCCATGCTTGCGTCGCAATTTCATCAAATTTTTTGAGATAAACAAGATTTGAACAGATAACACAAACAAATTTGACAAAGGTACCATCTAATATATTAACCAAATATATTCTCACATTACTGTCATTTTGAAGTTGCATATGAATACGCCCATTACTGTTGATTCATGGAGGGCAATATTGATCTTGAACAAAGGGGGAATGAGTTTCCTTGCTGTAGTAAAAACTATAGCTCATTTAGAGTTCATTCTAACTAAATATCGGTAAGAGGAATTTATTGTTTTTCTGGTGTGAATTGCAAATCAACTAAACACATTATTTTTATACAATTTCATGTATATTCTAATCCACATAATGTGTAGGTATAATCTAGACACAAAAGAATTCAATGGATTGACACGTTTCAGATTATAAAATTCGAAACATGCAAAACCAAATGACACCTCTCATAATGATTACAAATTCTATAATTCGAAATTGCCTTTTACTCTCATAATGATTACAAATTCTATAATTCGAAATTGGCTTTTACAACATCAAAGTCCATGTTTTGATAATAACACCTTTAAATTTCACCAACATAAATTATTACTTAATGATCTTATCGAGATTAGAAGGATCTTCAGTGGTATGTAATATTTAGATTTTTGTAATTTGTTGAAATGGATGAGGTATCTGCAAGACACTCTGATGTCAAAGTAAGGTTCAGAGCGAGAGTGCAAATATAAAGTTAGAGTGAATAGAATAATGTGTACCTGACTCTCTAGTGAAAGATGGTATTTATAACTCTAGTGCTGGGTCAATGTCTCTATTTAGGTCGGATGCCTAAGTCCATAACGGAGAATGCTAGGATCCTACGTGGGTAGAGGGAACCAGTTCGTGGTCGCTATCCTGGATCAACTGTCCCGTAATTCTCGGAGGGTTAAAACTCGTTCTTATCGGGAACAGGATGACTCTGTGATGTTCGGAGGAATGTTGACCACGTACCCCTAATGGGCACGTGGGGGAGACATCCTCGACGGGCACTCGGAGGATACGTCCCTGGCAGGCACGTGTGAAAGATGTTCCCTAACGGACATAGCAACTTGGGCCATTGTGGTGGTCCTTCCTTGCAATAGCGTCGAGCTGATCTTGCCTGACGGAGGACCAAATGCAAGTCCAGTCTACAATAGGTTGGGCCTTTCTCGATGCATAGTTAGGCTGGGCCTTTCCTGACGATAGACTAAGCGCATGCCCATTGCAGAACAGGAGCCCCTCAAGTCGTTGCTCCTAAGTAGATGAGTTATGACTTTTAGGTTAACTCGTGTCTTTGACTTTCAGCTCGAGCATAGTTGGCAGGGACGCGAGCATCAATTTTCAGTCTAACACGAGCAAGAAAGGAGGACGTGATCATCCAACTTAATAATTTTTCCTTGCTAGTTGGTATTGTTTGGGGAATTTTTGCATCGATAAGGAGGATGTTGTATAAGTATCATGTTTGGGAGTCAAAGTGTGCCCGTGGAGAGCGTCCCCATAATCCCCATAGTTGTATCACAAGGGTATGCACGTGAAGGAGAAGGTTTTCCCCGCTCGACTACCGGGGAGTTGAAAGGTTCGGTCGATGCTTGCTTCTTGGGCCACGTGTTACAACATTTAATGCGAAATGATAGTCTAGGTGTAGGGGTCATCATGGCCTAGGTCTATGGGCGATCGCGTGTCAGGGTGCTGACACGCCATCCGAAGTGACGTTTCGTCTCCTCTGTGCAAGGTTTATAAACAGATCTTAATGTTTCATTTACAAAGTTTTATTTTTGCTCTCCCCTTTCATTTTCTCTCCTTTTTTTCCTCTCTTCTTCCGATTCGCACTCAGCCGGAGTTGCCATCGTGTTCGCCGTTGCAACCAACGTTCAACCCTTAATAAGTAAGCATTTTTTCTTTCTTCCTATGATTAACCATGTTTTTGTTCTTCGTAATACGCATGTTTTGGATGAATTTCGTGTTCCGGGGAGGTTCTTCTTCGTGAAACTTATATATTCATAAGTTTCCCCGCGAAATTCATGTGTTTCTCCGCAAGATTCATGTGTTTCCCTGCGAGATTTATGCATTTCCCCGCGCGATTCATGTGAACCTTTATTAGTTGTGCCCTCAGTTTAGGAGGGTTAGTCTTGATTTTCTTTGAACTGTCGAGCTAGGGTTTTACGTTAGGGACTTAATGCTCGTCTCGTGATACACCCTTTCACTTGACTCGCAGTGGAAAGGTGGATTTGATTTGACCATCGTATTTACGGTTTTCCTCTGCTTTACAGGTGAGGTGGCCGAACCTGTTGAGGATGTTTAGATAGCTAACTCAATTACCGACCCCTAACTGCATTGGGTCGCCCCCGAGCCTCGAAGCATAGCTTCACTTTACGCTAAGTCTTTAGACGATGCTTTCACGCATGTCGAGGATGAGGCAGACGACCGAGATGTTGAGAAGCATTGGAAAGTTATCAAACTGGTTGGGAGAAAAAGGATATGCTCATTTTACTCGAGGAATGACATCTCCATGTACGAATTTATTTTCAAAGAGCTGGGGCTTCGGCTGCCCTTTAGTGATTTCTAGGTCGGGGTTTTCGGGCACCTGTCGTTGGCACCCTCTCAGCTGCATCTGAATGCAATTGCCTTTATATTGGTGTTTGAGATAGTGTGTCAATACCTTCAGGTCGGTTCCACAATTCCTCTTTTCTTCTACTGTTTTCGA